CTCCTCCGCCTCCTCCTCCGCCTCCTCCTCCTCCGCCTCCTTCAACAACAACAACAACGAGCCGCCCTCCTCATTTCCTGGGCTCCCTTACACACCGACCCCGATCGAGTACTTGAAAGCTCAGCTTTTGGTTCCCTCTGGGGCACAAAGCCTTATCGTCGACTCGCCCTCGCCCATGTCCTACACCGGAAAGACCGCATTTTATTCGGTCAAGAAGAACACGGTGACCATACGAATCTCCGACGCCCGTTCTTCGCAGCGCCCCCCTGACGACGGGACGTTTGAACTCCTTGAGCTGGAGGACCCCACGAGCGTTATGTGGCGTCGCAAGATAGGCAGGTTCATCAGCAGTGCACTGAACCTGGTCGACCGTGGTACGTCCACTCACCGCTAAAGTCTCGCAATCGTCTCACTCGATCATCAGGGCAATCCACCCTAAAGTCTGAGGTTCCCTGGATTCTGAGCGATTTCCCGTCTCATTACGCCTTGTATTGTCGCCGGACATCGACCCGGAGCGCTGATGGGACGGGGAAAGCTCGTAAGGATGTATACCTATACGGTATGTCCCCTGCATCTCTCACGCGTCCAGCTGTCACTCATTTCATCAAATGCGCTAGGTGCCTCGCATCGGTTTGCATCACCCGCGGAGTTTGCTGCACACGCAATATGGCTCATGCGCGGCCGCTCAGGCCAATGTGTATGCAAGTACTGCGTCGATTCGTGGCGGGCTCGAGTACCCGATCTCCTGGAGGATGGCGTGAAGCAGACGGCCGCTGCCATACCGCCTTCCGCAAGAGCGGGATACTCGCAGATGACCCGGGGCACCAAACGGAAGTTTATCTCGGACGGAGACATCGGCGTCGTGAGTATGGGGCGTTCGAGTGGTCCACAGCTCAAACGGAGTCGCAGTCTCTGATCACCCGTCATCGATGTATACACATGGCTGTATTGTCCTCTATGTCACTTACATACCTCTCACTGCCCTTCAAGTTGCAGCCTGTCCTGATCATGACAGATATTGTTCAGATTATCGCATCAGTATCTGGTATGTTTAATTGATGGCGACTGTAGAACTTGAAGCCATGATCATGCGCGAGGCTCTTCGCACCCAAGTCTCTTTCTCTTGCTTTGCACGGCGCGAACGGAGGACCAAAGTCAATATCTCTATTCTGGTACCTGTACTGCCGAGGTAAAGAGATAATCAGTGGAAGGCACGTCGGGAGAGGCTGGATGCGAGGTAGTGAACTCGGATGGGCTGGACTGCGCCAGCAAGGCTGCGCGGTTCACATAGCTGCACTACCCGTCTCGGTTCTTTTGTTCTTACTTTGTATACGATACACATGGCCTAACGAACAGGTCCTCGCGATTGTTGGTACTTCCAAACCCCCGGTGATCTGCTCCTGCGACTAGGCCGTCGAGGTCAATGCAACTTCCGACCCGACGCGTGATCCCGGCATCTCCACTACGTACGCACCTGTGCGCTCCTGTCGTGTCACCCTCGCTCAGCCCGTAAGACGTGCTTCTTACGAAGGGGACTGGAGAGGCTCGCGCTGGGACACTTGCGGTATTTTGCCGCGGCACCGTACCACACTCATAGAGTGCTCTCACTGCCGGCCCCGCTGGTCCGCAGCTTGCAGGCCAACAGATACGAGCCATGCTAGCCGGACGCCGTTCTCGTCATGTGTCTCTTTGCACACCCTTGATTATCTTTAGCGTATGCTCAAACACAATCCGGACCTTCATCCCTAAGGCGAGCTGGCGCGCCAGCACCCATCGTTGTCGATATATCGACCCCCGTATTGCCGCCCCCGGGTTTACCCCCCTCGGCTGTGGTCGTTGGATCACTTCCCACCGTTGATGATCACGGCAAGTGTCTTTATTTCTGGTACCCGGGTACCGCCCCTTGTCGTTTCTCGCCTGCTCGTGGGCGAAGTCTTGTGCGTTCGCACAAATCATGGGGCTCGCGCTGGTCTCAAACGCTCACCATTTCCGCATTGGCCATGACCTCCATCATGTTGCCCATAGAACCTGGCACGCCCGCGCCCGAACATGGGCCATCCAAGCGTCCTGCTACGGATATACTGCTTAAGATTGTCTCCGCTTCAGCTGCAGACAGCATTTCAGACCAGTAAGTAAGTAAGTAAGTAAGTATTCCCGGGGGTCAACCGATTGGGACTGGGAAGATCTGGGCCCAGCACGTGTCACCACGGGCTGCCCATTTGAGCGCATTGGTCACTTCGAATAGTGGCCCGTGGTTCATACATTGCTCCTACCCGTGAAGGCACTGCCATTGCCAGACGTTCTAGTTCTCCCGTTGCCGACCATCACTGGTGAGCAGGAAGCAAGGACACTGGGATCCGTCCAGTGAATGTTTGGGCCTGTATCATATGCGGGATGTGAGCATGCAGGCTGTTAGCAGCGGTGAGATCCCGAGATGCGAAGATGCCGACTCCAACAAGTCCACGCGGGCCTCGGCCTCGGCTTTCTTGCCCTAGATATTGACGGCTTTATCACAACGTTCGGATCCGCGCCCCGGCCTCGCTTGAGCACGTAGAATTGCACGGCATCAGCGCCAACAACAATGACCGCGACAGACTCGAAACTTTGCTCCTGTCTTGCCGTTCTTGATCTTCAGCTCGAGCTATGAGCACAACAGTACTCGTTACCTTATGTCGGTCCAGTCAGAATCTGGAGAGCTGCCACTGTGGGTTACTGCAGTCTGCTGGGCGTGGGGAGAGGATGTGAATGTGGTGCACCAACTGTTACTCATTTCGAGCCCTGCTTTACAAACTGCCATCGTGCTCTTGGAGTTCACGATGAGCCGCGGCATCGCAGCTGTATCAGAAAGGCAGTTAATGACACGCGCGGGTGAGTCTGTCTCTGTCTGTGGCGTGGCGAACGCAGGGTCTGACCCGCATTAGACTCGGCCGGGGATTGGGTTACTATTCGCATCCGCGTCTCCGATGCGTCCACCAATCGCTACAGCATACAAGCGAGTATTCCCTCGGGACGTGGGGACCTCGGCGCCCAATGCGGACTTGTAAGCATGCGAGAGGAAAAGCCAGCATTTGAGGAGGAAGACGGAGATCTTGTCATGAGCGGAAATAGTTGGGCCAGTCTTGAGTGGCGTGAGAAGAACGACAACAGTCCTCATGGTGTTGGTAGACGAGTATTACACGACACCAGAACAGGAGGTGTCCGCTACCCCGAGCTTTCCGCGCCTTTCGTAACCGCGCGTCGATAATTTCGACACCTGTGATGGTCTGACTCAGCAGGTAGCTCGTGGCATTATTGTTATATGCAAGCAACATGCGTAGGCGGTATAGAGCAGGATTTACCGTTCCGTGTGTCTCCGATCCCGACACGTCCTTGTGCACCGCGAAAGCGACTGGGCCTCGTAATACTTTGGCTTGGATCAAGGTCCCGTACATCGCCAACGTTGTCCCGTAACATGTATAATGAACGAGCGCAGAAAGGGTACTCCTACTCGACCAAGCGAAGACTGTAAAGTTCATGGGCGGTGTTTCGGTCCCCTTCTATCGCAAGCCTGCGGACGAGCCCGTAGCGCACTTGCGTACAAGCTCTATCGCGCGCAGCAATTCGAGATCGACGGCAAAGTAAGGGAGACGGAGGAAGAGTGGACCGTCGAAACTGGGTACCAGGAGTGCTCGCGGCAAACGTGGTGAGGCCACCGGCAGACGGCTTGCGGACGAAGGCGGATATTGGGACGAGATGGACTACGCCGTCAATGCACTTGCAGTACCACCGCGATGAGTGTACTACCACCAACTATGCGAGACTCGCGCGCAAGGGCCACCTTGAGCATGAGCGCACCTAGGAACACGTCGGTGTTGAGTAGCGCGCGGGATGCCACGAGTAGCTCGCGATCACGTGTGTTTAACATCTGCATCTAGACATCAGGAGAGACGCCTGTTGTCACGTCCCTCCAAAATCATGATCGGAAGAGAAGTGAGGAGCAATGGATCATGACGGCAGCCAAGTTTAGGACTCGTACACGAGTGTGTCGGCTTCTCAGGCGACTATCTTCGTCCAACTTCATAGGTGCGCGCTCAACACTCGAACCATCGCGGAAATATAGCATAAGTAATTCAGCATGATATTTCAGAATGGAAGATAGCCAGCGAGCAGTGTACATTGGGGAGACATAGCTGAATACAAGTACATTAGAAAGGGAGTGGTATCGAACGCCCAGCCTGTGCCTGGCCTAGAGATAATCCGTGTTCGCTTCGGTCACCCATGTTTCTCCGTTCCAGCTAGCCCTACGCCTGATGCGGGGTACAACTCGCAAAAAGCGAGAGGCAGAATACACCAGCGCTTCCATAACGGCGGTGATGGCATCCTGAGAGGCGTTTGAGCAGTGCTTACACGCGCAATCGCCAGGAACGGCGCCGCGCATCAGCCATATCGCGTGAGCTGCAAACTCTGCAGGTGATGCAAATTGTACCTGGCCGCCTAGCCCCAGTCCATGTGAGCTGGCTATGGCAAAGTAGAAGAGACTACCCAACATACCGTACAAGTAAACCTCCGTGAGACTCTTCTCAGTACCATCCTCCTCTCGAGTAAGCGTCGTGCGACGCGCGAGAACATAATCGGGCGGAAAGGAGTCGAGAACCCATAAGTCGCCCGGTACGAGTGCTACTTATAGGTCAGGTGGAAGCAATTGCACGAGAGCGAGTGAGCTCACCGTCGCTCATGTGACCGAAGATGGCACCGCTGAGGAGTCTGCCAATGCTATGGCGCCATGAGAGGTGAGTCGGATCACCCAGCGGGAGGATGACATAATCTTGCTCGATGGGAGGCCGCCACGACGGGAGAGCGTCAGAACGATGGATAGACACCACGTTGTTCGTGACCGAGTAGAAATTGGCCTCCATGGAGTAAGTGCCGGTATGAGAGGTATAGCGGAGAGCGTCAATGCTCGAGGGGATGATTAACCTCTCGCGCAGCGACACCGTAGGCGAATGCGATCGCTCATCTAGAGACATACTAGAGAGAGCGAGGTACAAGTTTTCATCGTCGCTTTCACGAGACTGCGGCCAATCGCCGGACATTACAAAGTCGTCTGCACACAAAAAGTCAACCATCTGTCCGAGGCTCTACAAGTAGAACGAACTCGCCATCCACAAGACCGGCAAACTCGTAACAGCCGTCGTGCGCCTTCATGAAAGGGGCGAATATGTCAAATGCGCCGGTGCAGAACATGAAGGAGTCCAGGTCGTCGACTGGAGATACCGTCGTCGTCGGTATTACGTTCCAAGTCATTACCTGGGCGACCTGCTCCAACCAGGTCAAGACACGCGCCATCGACTCTTCGTCGTGCGAGCACGCTTCGCACACCACGTCTGGCGAGGAGTACAGAAATAGAACGAATGAGATGATGTGGTAACCAGCAAGGGAAGGGAACTCCAGCGATAGCTGTCCAGAAGGTCGCTCAGAGTCCGACCTGGAGACGCTCGCGTTAGTTAAGACCCAATGATCGCAGGTGTGGAGGTATTCACCTTGCGAGGAGCCAGATATCGTGTGAGTACTTGCGAAGCGGTTGCACGTCGGCGTCCGAAGCGCAGCGTAAGGTCGACAGGTTGGCTGCAATCTCTAAGTAGATGGTCGAGAGTATAGATAGCATTTCCGTATATTGAGCGGCATAAACTGAGACGCCGCCGTCATACGGAGGGGGGGCGTCGTCAGCCGGCGAAGGTTGCGAATTCAATATGTCGCCAGAGAGGAGATCGTGCTCAAGCGCGTCGGGCGTAAGGGAGTAATAGGTAGGAGGAAGGGCGGGGATATTTCCTGCTTGCATCGTGCGAGGGAGGTGAGTGACTCTGTAGGTCTTGAGACCAAGGTATATTCGCTTTTATATCGCTTAGCTCGGGGGATACCCATGTTGAGGCCTCGAAGGGCATGTGGCGGGAGACAAAGAGCGTGATGCAACACGGCATCCAAAGCGGCATTGGCCACTGCGAGTCGCCAGAGAATAAAGAAAGCAGGACAAAGCAACGTCATAGCTACCGTCTTGGACGGCAGACGCCGAAGGGCGCGGTATCGATTTGAACGCGAGGCGTGCTTCTAGCGGGGATCGTGGGTCGCAGATCCTCAGTCGCAGATTTTGACGCTTGAACCGTAGCATAGTTGCCGGTGTCACATGGCTTCTGTTTGCCTGTGGATATTTGAGAAACGTATGCCGGCCGGTACATTCTATGTAGAGACGGCCGCCAGCCGCGCTCAGGACTACCAGTGACTGGTGAAGTTGGTAAAGACCGGTGGTGGTTGAGTTGCCACGGGAAGTCATCCGGTGATGGTCTGGTTTGTGAGAAACTCGCGGATGTCCGAGCCGAGCGCCGATCGACGATCACCTCGGCGACTTTCCCTTTTCCTGAGATGGGACTCGGAGGATCGGCATTCGCTGGTTGTCCGCGCCGTATAGGCCGTATGTAGAAACGATAGCATAGAGCTGAATGGAAGACGCAGCACGGCAAATGCCGGCGTAACTAACGTAGCGAGACGCTCTGCCCTCGGAGGGACAGATCTCTTTGCGTACCGGAACGAGTCGCGATTGTTCCGACTTGCGGATACCGATGTCAGCGGCTCAGAAACCCGTTATACGTCAAGCCATGCATCTCCGAGTGTATGCGATACTGTAGCGGTGGCAGTCCCCTCTGACTGTGATCATCGGACGGTCTGTAATCCGCCCGCTATTTCCCTTCCGGGCCTTCCCTTGCCTATGTTCCACTCTCCCTAGCCCGAGTGGTTAGATGGTGGCTAAGATGAAGTCGGTGTCTCTTCGCGTATCCGGACTGTGGACAATACTCGTGTTGGAGTAGCCGTATCCGCTGCGAAGCTCATGAGCGCTCTTAGGGCGCCTGCGCCGTGCCAATGCCATCACTAGAACTGTCCTGAGTCCCCGATTAGTGGATGTCGGCGAAGGCGAGAATAGCCGCATACAAAGCTTACGAGGAGACGTACGATCCCGCGAGGCATGCATGCCGTGAACTGAGACACGAGCTAATGACAGTGATTGAATGTCCGTCTCACCGAGCTGTGTCACAGCGACCGCTGAGCTCAGAAAGGGTCGGCCGGGAGGAGAATGTCGGATAGAACGGTGTGTTAAAGACACTTATCGGGCGTTCCGTGTATCGTAGCTGATCATGAGAGATATTGAGCGAAAACCTCTTCACGGTGGCCGCGCTCGGCTGTCGACTGTGCGTAGAGGCGTCGTCAAGAGAGTTGGCCAGGTCAACTAATGATGTGTCTAGAAGACGATGCGTCTTCGTTCGAGTTTCCATGCCCTTGGTGGAGCTAGTTCGCATGCTGCTTACCACTTGCATCACCCTGAGCAACACTGAGGAGTTTCGGGTGGCAAGAGATGTTCACTCCTCCCGCGATCTTCTTCGTAATTGCAAAAGCCATACCAAGTCCGGGACGTGCGAGCGAGAATTAAGACAAGGGTTGAACGTTGAAGGAAAAGAGGGAATCGCCGAGGCGTGTTTCCCTAGCTCAGCGGCGGTTCAAAAGCTGCTAGCCCTGTTGTTTCATTCAAATCTTGCACTACTGTCACTTCCGTAGAGACTTGGTTTTGACAACACGCCGGTGATTGTGGAAGTTAGAGTTCAAGACGCGTCTAGCCCACGCGCTCAGACTCATCCCGCGCTTGGCTCTCATCCACCATGTTCAGTCCCATCGCCCGTTCGCTGCGTCTCCGTGCACGTCTCCGCATGAGTCTTGCTTTCATGGTTATCTTTGACTGGTTATCTATGGAGAGCGTGTGCTATGCATATTCATCATCATCATCGCGAGCTCTTGGGAGGCGCACAGCACGCAGGAGTACCGACTCCATGTGAACTTTGAGGACGGGAGTCAGATAGGAGGAGGCGGCGGACAATACGAGGTTTTCTATTATGGTAATTGCTCTGCGAGTACGTGTATAACAGCCCCTACGCTTTCGATTGCTCAACGGCTACAGATCTTCTTCAGGGCCCGCTTCACTATCGCCCGGCACAATTTACGCTCCATAAGATCACGACCCATCTGATTAGTTCGATGGATCTGGGCTACAACTCCCTTTGTCCAGGCCTGCACAGAGCAGCTGCTTCCATGAGGCCACGCTCAATATCATCGGCTCACCGCCCTATACGAACCTTACACTCGCCACGAGATGCATCGCTATCGATATCGGTGTATCACACCCATCTCACTCTACCGCCTCCGCACTATCTAAGAGAGGACAGTGTCGGCGCTGCGCCCATAGGATCGCTGTCATCGTCCACACCGTACTCTCCCTGTTCCCCTACGGGCGACTGGCGTATGAGCGCGATATCAATTTGTGACTTTGTCACTTGACGATACTGCGACCCGGGCTCTCCGGACACGGCAAGATCGTGGATACGCATCCCTATTCGAGCCCATCTGCTGCAGCTTACACCTGGACTCGATAACGGTCACACCACGGATGGCGAGGGTAGCCTCACAGAGCTTATCCGTCCTGGCACGACGATGGCTAGCCCGACAAGCGGACGTCCGTCGTCTGATCTACAATGTTGGGAGCGGAAACGGGCCTCCTTTTCGACCGTCTCTACGCGTGACAGACAAGCACGAACTATCTTAGACTGTCATCGCGGACAGTCGTGGCTTACGTTGAACTCGTCTCTACGGGAGAGTGGCAGCAACTGCGTTCACCCTTATCGCCCGCAAATGTCGCTGGATTCCTTAGGCCGGGTTCGCGGAGCTCATCTCAGCCGACTCCTAGCCTCACCGCGCTCTCCACTGCGGAGGCTTCCGAGTGAGACGTGTGGTCGTCGCACGCACGGAGGGTCCTATAGGGATTTCGGTGCTGGAGCTGCGACGGAGGATGACGGTGCGACGCCCATTCCGGCCACGTATGCCGAAATACGAAGCGCAGACGCAGGAGGTTTATCTGCGTCGTCGCCGGGGAGCAGAAGCAGATGATCAGTAGGATCAGCAGGGTCAACGAGGGCGGACATGGAGGGAGCCCAGAGCTGGTCCGCGTGCGGTGCGATGGGGAAGAGGGGCGCGACGTTCTCAAACAGTACGGCGGAGAGTGTCACGCCGAAGAATCCTTTCTGGACACGTAGGGCCGTACCAAGGATGTACGTGGCCCTCTCTCTCTCTCGATCGTGGCTTGAAGACTGACGGGTGTGAGCAGCAGCCTGCAAGTGGGTGCGCGGCGAGTTCACCAACGAGGACGACATGGACGCGTACACCGTGTCGATAATGACAACCAGCGGGAGAACAATAGTCAAGCCAGTCGCGACTCCATGCACTGCATCCGCCCGCGTCTGAAGCGTCTACACTTGGCCATTCTGTGACTGGGTCCAAGTTGTACCACGTGTCTTCGCCATATTCAACGTTCCAAAGTCTGCAGACACGGGTGGGAAGGAGACAGAGCTCCCTAACCACTGTGTTGCAGGACCCCCGCGCACCTTCCGGTGTGCATCTCGATGAGCGACCGCAATTTTACGCTGGCCGCAGCTGATCGATGCGGGACTTGTGGGATCTCTGCACGGCACGAGAGTCCATGATGTAGAATTGTCTCTTATTCGCATAATATAGGTACCATTGCCAAGCAAGATATTGTTGCAATAACGGGAAGTGCAAACAGTTTCACATTTCAGAGCCTTTGCGTGCGGTACACGACATACACCAACAATTTCGCAAGGAGATTGGGGGACAGACGTGACGAATCCGTACAGCGCGAGGTAGCCGATCCAAATACCCGATGCGATCATGGTAGCCCGACCACATATGATACATTCTACGCAACTGCTCCAGCCGCACTCTGCTTCACCCACTCCACGACATAAGCTGCACACATAATCGCAAGCCAGAAGAGTGCGAGACAGCTTAGTTGGAAGAACTTGAGGACACCCAGCGAAGGCAGTTCCTGCTGTTCCTCACTCGAGATAGTTGCACCACAATCCTACAATGTTATCAGTTGAGGTCTGGTTGCGCAGAAGAGGACGTGGTCGCCCTACAGGGTTTGAGGAGCCTCCCAATTCGGGCTCAAATACGAAGTCGTCCAATGGGTACGTTTGACCCTGCTGAAAGCCCCGGTTGACTACCGAGAACTCTGAGAAGATTATACAACATACCTGAATAGGCTGGTCTGGCCCACCTTGTATGCAATCTTCCATCGCGCATTGGCCTATGGAGGTAGGCAGCAGCTTCTGACAGAGAGGGTCGTCAGGTCAGGGATTCGCTTCTCGCTGATAGCTTTACGCACGTAGCCCTGAGAAGATTGGTTTTCAACATTTATCCCAGAGGTGCCCGTAAGACGTGAGATCGCGGAGCGGGCGTTGAGCGCTCTCCCTTGGCCATTTGCGGGATGTTCACGCAGTCGTCCGCTAGGAAAGCGTCCTGCCCAAAGACCGTCCTAGGATACTTCATGAGACCTTGCTAGAGCACTATGACGCTAGAGAACGCACCGGCGACCTGAACTTGGTCGCACGATACTGGCCATCGATGTTGGGGATGGTGCTGACGTCTTCATGCGTTCGTTTGGGTGGGCTGTCGGCCATGATACGATCGACGGAGATGACTAAATGCCTGAGGGAAGACGAAAGAACCAGCATGCGTGAGCCAGAGGTATTTATCTCTCGTTGGAATCTGAAGACGGTGACTGCGGGCACGCCATGAGTTCAGTGCCATACTCCGATTCCAAAAGGCCATCAGGGGAGATGCCGGACGCAAGGCAAAGCGAGACAATGGAAGGAATGGGTGTTGAAAGAGAGATCGGGGAAAAGACCGATGATGCGCTTTTGAAGGACAAAGAGCAATACTCCCGGAAGTTCCTCATGGCGGTTTGAGGCAAGTTCGTTTGGGGCGTCACGCGTAGCATGTGTTCGTTTTTGCCACGTCAGAAACATCTGGAGCTCAGTCGCAAGAGGCTTGTGCGAAGCCGCCATGCTTCAGAAGGTAGAGGGAATTGCGCTCTCGGAAGCGAGCCATCTCCGGGCAAATCCGGATCGTCGCCGACGATAATGACACGGCACCTTCCTCTTACTTCTCCGAATGGCCTTTGCTCTTTGTCCCAAACACACGCTATCAGATGCTTCTCTTTCTTGCTCTTTGTGCAACTCTTGATGCGGAGCAATTCTCAGTCGACTGTCGTTCGCTAGGTGCTCATATAAAACGGCCCCAATAATCGACATCCATATCCACTCCTCTGCCTACACCATGAGTAGCGTCGCAGGAAGGGTCCTCGTCTTCCTGCTTGCTATGTTCATGCCTTCTGATTGAGTATCTTAGCCCGAGCTGTCAGTCGACGACCGCATTGCCGATCGATGCCTGGCCAATGACGACCTCGTTAGTTTCAAGATGGAGCGGCAGACGGATACGGATGCTCTGTCCATCTCGCAACCGCAAGAAGACGTGGACTCTGAGCTAGATGCTCACGATGAGGTGCGATTCTGATCACTCTTGTACGCGTGTCACTGAAGAACGTGGTAGATTTGTACAAACTTGATCCGGCACGCCACCATCCTGGACTCGGAGAGGCGCGATCTCCTTCTCTCACCTCAGACTACGCAGACTTTGGTGAGCAGTGGTACTACTGTACGTTCGCTCGAGCGAACTGAAGAGTTTGTTTAGAGCGAGTCTACTGTGAATCTATCGCACTTGCTTATCACTCACTTACTAAAGCTCTAACCTTGTAGTATATCGTGACCGACGAAATTCCAGGAAATGATAACGCGCACATGAGAGACTTAGAATGCATGCTCTCCAGCATGGAGAAGGTGAAAGAATTGCCAACGACGCCATATTACGGTCCATTCATCGCTGACATCTTGTGTAGTCGCGTGTTGCTTTGACCCGCCGCGTCAACCAGCTGGAGCGGAGCAATGACGAATTGAGCCTCCGCTGTGAGACCCTGCAACACGATCTGCAGCGTGCGCTGACTCGCCGCACGCTGACTCAGGTACGTCTTTCCTGAGTTCTTCTCTCGTCACGCGCTTGCCAACATGCGTATGGAAGGATGTACAATCCCTAGTCGACAGCCTTGCGGAAGCACTCGAGTGCAAGCTTTGCTACTGTGTGACGAAGGACCTTCACACGTGAGCAGTATCGTGTTCTATCCCATACGCAGGTTCTGAATTACGTCCAGGCTGGGTTGTGGGCATACCTTCTGTAGCCAGTGTCTTACGGGCTGGTTCGGTGCCTTACGCGACCAGTTCCTTGAAAGGTTCCCTGATTGGAACGGATACCACCGCCCGTACGGGAGCGACGAGGAAGCGGGCCCCACATATACATGCCCGGGATGCCGCGACATTTATATGTTCAGCGCTTGCTTGCGGCCGTCCTTCAAGTTGGTGGATGTGATTGGGATTGTTGAGGGCAACACTGATCTCGTCGATCGGTCCGTTCCTGCAGCTGCCTGGGCGAACTTTTGTCGGTACGATTTCATGCATACCAGAACCTAGCATGTATGATACAATCCTTAATTGAACGAACTGCCCTGGACGATGTTTTGGCGCTTTGCTTGACTGGCGTGCCCGTTACTCAGCCTATAGAATATACACCCATGCATCGGATGATCAACCGCAAGGCATCCCCGCTCAGGTGCAAGCGGTATCGTGAAACACCCAACTTATCACAATGCACAGCAAGCACACCTATAGCAACGTTCACACTCTACTCAGGGAACGTCAATTGTGTGGCCGAGAAAGAGTTGAAGGATGCGGCTCGAAACGGAAATGTCTCGGGCGGTGATAACTAGGCCGCGTAATTCCGTGATTAACGAGGGTATTGCTTATCATCGATATATCATCCCTCAGGCCTCAGGGTGCACGCGTAATGCAAGCTTGGGACCATCATTGGACGAATGTGTCACTACCCGGTCGGGACTCTAGATCCGTAGGAGTAGTAGTAGTACCGTCGACCCCTTACCAAGGAACCAGTTGACCTCGCGGCTAGCTCGTTCTCACGCACGAGTACAGGTTGTTAGCACATTGCTAGCAGTTGCTAGCATATCGTCGAAGATCAATGAACAAGACAGTAGTCCGTACGGTCCACTTAAGTATGGGTACACCATGAACTGTACTGGTGCTGTCGTGTAGTGGAGGAACATCCGAAGTTATGATGGCGCGCGCCAGATGTAAACGTGCCAAACGAGGCAATTGCTGAAGACAACAGTATTCATCGTTGTATCGCGTTCCAACCAACCTGACATGGTGCAACGGCTGACATCGTACAGATGCTGCCAATTGCGTCTAAGTCACAACACTCGCACCAGCAACCGGCTCCACCCTCGCGAGATCAATACGTCTGGATGCTCGCAGTCAGCGCAGCCGAGATGCGTGCAGATGAAAAGACAAGCATACATGAATGAAGTAGGCGTATCCGGGTGCTTGAGAATAGAGTATCTCGAACATGGTACTGCATGGGAGAAAACCTGATGGATATGCGCAGGCTTCAGTTGAGTATTCTTCTGTGACAAGCTTCTTCTGTGCATCATGCATGAATCCTTACAACCGAATGTCTGGTGGAGAGAAGCTCACGAGCGATGGTGTCTTGGGTACGACCACTGCCAGATCCGCTATAAATATGATCTGAGGATTGGGCTCCGACGTTGCAACACCGGTGATGGGCCTCAGAGCGTTCCTGTGCCTTTCTAAGTAAACCCAACCAAAGCTGAAGAGTATAGCTATGAAGCCTGCGAGTGTAGCTGTCGAACGTATCGTCGAAGGTATAGTTCTGCGCGCGATTGTGCAAATTAGCGGGGAACATGACAGTCGGGGGACAACGCTCCGATGTTAGTAAGCTGGACGCTGATTGGCGCGGCGGTTCCCTAGATCCGCAGATGAATATTCTGTACCGCCGTTTGACGTTTGAACTTTGACCACCGTCGCGTTCATCAATTCAGCGCACCTCGACGCGCGCCGTATCGACTCGCCACACCTTCTCGCTGTCGTCCGCCGCCTACCCGCTTGCGCCACATCACGCTACGTACGCGTAGCATCTCTGCGCCTTGCGTACGCGCCCCGGGCTCGGACCTGTCGTCATTTGCTAGGATTTCGCTCTGCAGCAATGCGCTGCATCTCCCCCTCCCCATGCTAGACCATGGACGATCGCCATCCAAAGTTGGGTGTAGGGGACCTGCGCTTTGAGGCCATCGCCCTTAAGATTCCGCGCCTTGAATCACAACGCTCGTCGTCGCATCTCTCGTCGCCAGTGCGCCCTGCCTTGGTCTTCCCGGCCTCCGCGCTTCGCTCTAGTTTCGGAATTCCCTCCCTGTCCTCTTCGTTCTTGAGCACCTATATCGCGCATAAAATGCTCCCGCTCACTACCAACCGTCACCTCGTTTCACCTCGTCTGCCCACCCTTTCGCTGGTTGGTTGCGTCTTCATCACCCTTTCCTTCGTACACACCCGAGCCTGACCGGAAATTCAAGAACCAAAGTTGGGAGGATGATGATACGTCTTTTTTCCGCCTGGAGGATGTATCCGCATTCCAGCTCATCATGCCAGCGTCCCACCACACCGGCCTATCGGCCTTCCCGCATGTCCGCCCCCCTACATGTTTACTTGCATGCCACTCCTTCCCTTATTATTCCCTATCTCGACCCTACTATCGGCTCTACTGTACGTTTAGGACCTTCTGGCCCCCTTTCTTATCTCCCCGATGCATCCCTGCTCTTTTGTACATGTACTACGAGCCTTGCGATGTATGTATGTACACAGATTCGGACGTTACTTGGCCTCCGCCCCCCCCTCCCGAATAACATCTCGTAGTAACTCCCACTCACTGACTGAGGCACGCGTACCAATCACTCGGACCCTCGCACACACATATACCTCTATGTCGTCTGTGCGACGCTGAGCCTATCATGAGGTGCGTATGACGTGACCATGGCATTACTTGGTCCTTGGATACTCCTCGTGACGACTACAATAACCACAACTCTTGGGCTCGACTAGCTCTCGTCAATTGTAGATGATCGGGAGCGCTATAGTTGCTTCGCTCCGCCCGAAGCGAACACGCAAATTGACCAGCAATTGCTCGGTAGACTTCGGCGCTGCGACAGATCGACGGATTAGACATGCAATCCCCAAACGCCCGGCACGAGCAATACGGCAGAGTCTTCCACGGCCGTCTTTGAATCAAAAGTATTGCTACTACTATACAGCCCATTCATTGCAAGCCGCGCGTGGGTATTATTGAGTATGCCGATGGTACTACAGTACAGGCCGGCCAAATTTCACACATGGTTTATCACAAAACTTGTAATGCGCTACTAATCGCCCCCATTGCAGTACTTCCCGAGCAAGTCTTTCAGTCTGGCGCGAATTGGATCGCAGTCATTGGATCCCCAATAGCTTGGAGCGAAAACGAGCTATATTATGTTAGAGTGGGATCGAAGTGTTCAAAAACGCGCTAACCTCATACGCTCTGGAAGGGTTCCGTAGGATTGTGCTGGCGTTTTTGAGAACATGCAATCCGCAGTCACATTCGTTGTCCTGAATCGGTACCTAGTTGACCCAGTCAATAACAGCAATGCAGCATGATACGAGGGGACAGGCACGCTTGCTTCCCGCACGATAACACGCTCCGTCGGAGGAGTGTGATCAAGGCCGATGATACCCAGTCGCTCCCGCGCCTTGTTGACAATGAAGCGGCCGAGGGACATGGACATTTCCTTCGTCACTGCAGTCAAGTGTGGTTTGTCTCGACAGGAATCAAGCCAGGTAACCGAGACGCCTGTGGGCTCATTCCCGTCCCACAAGAGCGCAACAAACAGAAGATACCAGTGATAACTGATTTCCGTCAGCGTATGGAGGAGCGTCTCGAGGATGAGCTTACCCAGTTTTATTGTTGACAGGGATGAGCAGAAGCGGCTTCTCCAGCGGTTTCCAGCGAGACCAGTAGCCTGCCCATACAGGATCGCCTGATGCGAACGACGACCTGTCCCACTTTGGGCAAACCAAATCGGAGAGAGATCATGGATACGCACCTGGCCTTCAGTAGAGTCGCGAACATGGTTGAAAGACAGAGGAAAGACGAACAGAACTCCGAAGTCTTGACCAAATATCTGCGAAGAGGTCTCAAATAAGATCGCGACAAGAAAGGTGCGGGATACCAACTCCATTCCAAAGTTGATTAGCTCGTCGTTGAGTACTTTCCCGGGCTGGAGGAGACGCAAGTCGTGTCTCGTAATGCTGCAGGCCCGTGAAAGGTATATGGTGGACCCGGAGTCTCTGAATGAGTGTGCGTTCAGCTTAGTGTATAATTCGCGAGAACGAAGAAAACGAGGCGCACCGCTCCGTAGGGGAAACGCCCGATGATGAGTTTGTGGAAGATCCTTCTGGATGAGCGGGATCTGTACTGCTTGAAGATTTCTGTGACTGCTCAGCATTGCGACGCATTGTACGCGTTCTCTCCGGTCGCTCATCGATCCTAGCATGATATGTATGAGAACGTATCTGATCCGCGACAAGGCCAAACTCACAACCTTGTATCGGCGCTTCTGTTGGCACAGAAGCAATCAACATGATGAGTGCATTGTAGTTCGCGTGAAATAGGAGGTAGAGATCTGATGGAAACCATTTCAGTTAACAGGCACCCGAAGCTACACATGTGCATACCCAGTTCTCTCCCGCTCTCTGCATGAGCTCTTCAATATATGTATGAGCTCTGCATAGGCACGAGGATCCCAAGACGGCATCGTCGTGCAGAGTGTAAAGGCAAGTACCCGGACAGCTATGTACGCCATCAGCTACCAGCGACTCGCTCCAGGATCGACCACATACATTGATAATCTGGGCCGCCGTCAAGAGTAGCCTTGCGGTCCAATCTGATGTAGATAGTAGGACACCCTGGAGACTCGTCCATGGCTTCGTGAGTGTACCGCAGAAGGAATATAGGTCGTGACGAAAGCGGTAATATCAAGAAGGGGCTTAGTGTAGACGACAGAGTGCCGCGAAGGTGGCGAAGTGCCACTACCAACTGTCGGCAGTCGCGCTCCTTGTCTAAAACGAGGAAGGTAGGTTCCGTGGGTTGCCTGAGTGCTCCGCCTGACCAGGCAGCCCATCGACAAACAGGGAGCGTACACTTCCCACTGACGTCCATCTCACAGGAGAGCGTAAAGTCTGGGGAGATGTAGCCACATGGCGGCCGAATGCACCATGCTTATACGCGCTGGGTGAATGGAGGGACAATCGGCCCTACCAACGGAAAGTTGCGCCTGGCGGGTCATCGAGGAACAAAGGAAGTAAACGGAAGATGCCGTACGTAGGAAGGCGCATGAGGGGCTTGCTGCCTGAAACGGATGTCTCCGGGCCTTATCCCACGACCTCGTGGCACGTTCCTTTAGCGTGCACAGCCATTGTACTTTGGAAACGGACTTGATAGACTGGGACGACCAAGGCCACCCAGCCCGTCGGCGTGCCCGTACTCGTCGGTCACCAGCACCTTTGACTACAGTACCGCTGCACTATTGCCCACGGATTACGTCGCAAGATGGACATGCCATAGCTGATCGCCAATTCGGTTCTTTATGCTTACTCCTTCTTTGTGTTTGCCCATTCTTTGTGTCGAAACGTTCTTTGTTTCATTTGCTTTATAGTGAAGCCGGCCCACCCGCCTCGTCAGAATCGGTCAACCTCCCCTAGTTCAGATTGCGATGGGAGCTCAACAGTCTCGGGCACAATCCTTCGCCATGGATCATATATTTGACCCGCTTGACGCCGAGATCATCCTACGCTCATGCGATGGCATCGACTTCGGCGTGCACGGCAACATTCTAAGGCTCATTTCCCCGCTATTCGAGGACGTTTTAGCTTCAACCCAGCAGTTGCCATCGTCCAGTCCCTTCATCCAGATGACGGAGGACTCGAATTCGCTCCGCCTTCTCCTGGCGTTTAGCTACCCACGCACTGTCTGCGAGGAGCCCGATCTCCATACCATGTTAGACATCAAGCGCACTGCTATCCTCGCTCGGCGTTACGATCTCAAGTTCCTCCATACCAAGGTGGAACAAGCTCTGCTCCGTTATAGCACCGTATCCCCTGCAGCCACCTTCGCTGTCTCGTGGAAGTACAGCTATCACGACGCTGCGCGTGCCGCTGCACGGTGCTCACTCGACGAGCCGGACTTCTTCAAATCCATCGCGTACTCAGACGAGATTCCCGAGTTCGGCGAAATCCCAGCCACGGCTGTACTTCTTCTATATCGATACCACACCTCCGTCCGGGGACAGCTCGAGCATGTCCTGCAACTCAACTCCCTTGAACATCCCATCACCTGGATATCTCCAAATCATATAGGAGCTTCACTGCAGAATGGGGCTGAACCGACGTGTACATGCAACATGGCGGTGGTGTGGTTCAGACAGCCCGACACGGGTGGTGTCTCAGAGTGGCGCGTGTACTCCTGGTGGTGGGAGTACGTCTTCGCTGTTGTATTATCGTTGCAAAGCGAGCGCAGGCCGTGCGTTGAAGCTGCTCTCGATGATTCCATGCCTCATTGTCTGAGGATGGCATCGCGATGCAACATCTGCGACAATGGAGCAGCCCTTGCCGCCCGTGTTCTCTACGCAACTCGTCAAGCCCTTCTCCGCAAAATCGAGGAACTTCTGGGAGCCGTGAGTTCAAGCAGTTGACTGTGTTAGCAGAATACTGAGTAAACATTCAGATCCCACTCAGTCTTCCCTGCGACATAGGCTTGCACAGTGCAGTGGACACTTTGATGCCTCTCGTAAGCTGCGACACGGCGCCGGTGATACGGCCCAGACTGACTGTGATTTGACAGACAAACTTAGCATGATTCCTCCAATGCTCGATCATGTATAACTTAAAACGATCTCGCGTATACTATTCGAGTCGTCTTGTTATATTCACCCCTTCTCCTTTTTGCATGCTTTGTATACGACGCCTATTCCTCGATCGAGCCCCATGAGCAGACCAACTAGTCCTGTCAAGTGATTCAGCGACGCGACCTCAGGCGCATATGCATGGGAGAGTATCACAGCGAATTGGACGCGGCGCGGTCATCTGGTGACCCGATTCCAGTTTCGTCGTTATACTTGGATTGCGAGCGCCACCATCGCGTCGTGGGCTCAGTAGTGCTGCGTCAGAGGTCTCATGAACACAAGTCGAGAGTCAACAGTCATTTACGCTCAGCCGTCACGTGTGCCCCTACGCAAGGTCCGCTAGTCGCCGCATTTCTAGGTGTGAAATAGTCCAACGACACTGAGCCCGCCAAAGGGAGACTAGCGCGAGACCACAGACGGAGATTCGTCAAAGGCTCGCCATATGGGCAACCTCCAGAATCCATCGCAACCCTCGTATCAGTAAAGCGAGAGCCATGATGACGTATGCCGAGAACTTGAAGGTATGAGCTCTCATTCCCAGTCGGGACGGCCGATTGGCAAAAAGTGGCGCGGGATCGGAGACCGCTAGCGCGGGAGGCTGACCTTACCTGGGCGGAGATGTGGGAGTCCTATAGACGATGTTGCAAGCGAGTCCGTTGCCGCCGCAGGGGGCCAAGGACTGCCTGGACGCAGCTCGAATGACGATCAATGAATGAAATGTGCGAACAACGGTCGCCGACAAGGAATGTGATTCATGAGCGAAGGGCAAAGAGGATAAGAGAACGTTCGTCGGTAGGCCACTGGGTCGAAGGATAGGAATAAGGATCCCGATCAGTGGAAGTTCACCCGCCCAACATCGTTCGGATTTTTGGTCCCAGACCCCGTCAAGTGCGACCTTGCCTGGTCTCAAGTGAAGACCCCCACGCCGCGACGGGTTTGAGTCAGGTTTGAGTTGAACTTACGGCCTTGCCGACACCGCCAGTTTCCATCATGGCGGCCGAGAGAAAGACGCGAAGGCTGCAGGGTGACTCTTGCTTCCAGCCACCATCTTCCCTTTGTCGCATGCACAAAACCTTGAATGTCCAAGCCCAGAAACGAACTCGCGACTTTTGATCGCCAGTCGTCCAGTGGTCGCGAGGGCGCGATTTCTGTGGCGCCGGAGGATAGAGTACACAACCTACGGGCGAGGAATGTATTGGTTTATGCCCGCGAATACGGGCGATGATGATGCAGGTGGGCGCCTCACGTCACAATGATTTGCGCGTCCTAAAGAACGCGTATGTGTAGGGTCAAATCAGCCTGCGCGCACTGCCGCAGTGAGTATGTACATAGGATCCAAGTTCTTTGCGAGAAAAGCTCACATCAGAACAGGTACCTCTCAAGTCCTTCGGCAAGTCCAAGCCAGCGCTACCCCAACGTCTCATTCGGAGGTCCAATAAGCGCCCGTACCAACTATCAACACGCACCGAGCGCCACCACCAGCCTTGCGCTTCAAGTCCGCTTTCACTGCGCGTTCCATGTCCTCTCCTGCCCCGCGTATGCCAGCTGGCGGCACCATCGATCTCTTGCACTCCGGACATGAACCGTCGCGCGTGCTCCTGCAAGTGCAGGTGTTCGCAAGTACCCGCCTGCTTTCATCCGCGGCCATCCTTGTGGCGGCGTGGACGCCGAACTCACGTCGTTCGCTATGACGAGCCTTGACCCGTTAACGGCAGCTCGCGGGGATCGAGGACGAAGTCGACTACGTTTGCTGGGTGCCTTATGGGCGACCACCTCGCCTCCTCACATGGTGTCATTGATTCGCCATGTATTGCACTACACGACGTTGTGGCGCCCACCGTTGCTGGGAGCGGACACGCGGAGGATGGTCTTGAAGCACGAGTCGCCGTCTGGCTTGAGGCCGACGGAAGAAGCCCAGCGACGGGGGCACTCGGTCTCGTCCGGCGAGGTGCCACTCAGGCCGCTGGAATCAAGCGTTTGAAGACCAGTCCGACACCAAGTGAACACGGGTGACCCGCTGGAGAGGCGGAGAGCGAAAACGTGCGCTATGGCGAGTCGCAAGAGAGAAAGGGGAAGGGAAGGAGACGTTGCTGAGCTCGAGTCTGAGCAGCTCCCAGACGCTTGTTGAAGTCGGTAATGGATCCGAGGTTGGAGATCTGCTATCAGTAAGCTTAGTTCTATGTGCTGCTCGTGTCACGCGTGTGCTGAGATGAGGATTTAGAAAACAACTCCAGAGCTACCTATGTCCAAGGAGGAGACTACTCTGTAATCAAGAGGGAACAAGGCATCTATCTGCTGAACGTGCTCATGTATGCTTCTCCACGTAATCTCTTCATCTACTTCGCCTCCATTTCCCCCTCCTTCGTTGCGCCAAGCCAGCTTCTCGCACACCTCAGACGAGTACGGTAGCACCTTCGAGGCCGTCGACGAAATCGAAATTGAGCATCCATATCCACTATTGGCTCGGCAGCGGAGCGACAAGCACCGGTCACTGCTCCAGCTGCCCCCTTTGCGCGAGCCATCACCTGAGTCTGAAGTCCAACCGAGGGATTCAACTCCAAAGCCTGAGTCGGAGCTGGAGGACACGGAGATCATGAACGACGAGCCCGCGCTCTGGAACTTTGGGCCTACGACGCAGGATATGGACGCAGACCCCAACATACTCACCTTCGACGACACATACGATATTGAGGTTTTCGATGCGCCTCCGATCCTCGCTACCCTGCCATTCCGAACGCAGCCACCTCTACTTCCTCTACGCACCCGGTCCATCTAGCGCATTCAACGGAGATCCCAAGAAGAGTCCTCCACACATCCTGCAAGCTCTCCAACTTCCGACCCAACCAGCTCGAGACGATCGTCACAACGCTCGGAAGTTGGGGCGTTTTCACGCTCATGCCTACCGGAAGAGGCAAATCGCTTTGTTTCCAGCTGCCCTCCATTGTCTCGTCCGGGGTTACTTTTGTCATCAGATCTCTCATCGCGCTCATCCTCGGCTCGAAGAGCTCGGTATTCGCGTCGAATGGTACAACCAGAACATGACACTTGCGGCCCGACACGAAGCAACGCAAGCCCTCCTCGCACCTATATCCGCCGATAAACTCAACATAGTGTCCTCCCATAAGGGGATCGTGTATTGTCTAAAGAGGGACAAGTGCGAGGAGGGTGCGGATACGCTGGCGAAGGAAGGAAATGGCGCGCGGTATTTCTATGCATAGATGGATGCGGATGATAAGATTCGCGTGCTGGAGCGGTGGAAGGGAGGGAGGATTAAGGTTATTGTGGCTAATATTGCGTCTAAGATGGTCATCAACAAGCTAGGCAGTACGTACGCCCAATCTCAGAGGACAATTCGGTACGGGTAGGCTGACGAGGGTTCATAGTTCGTTCATGATTCACTATGATGTGTCTATGTCTATGGCCAAGTACGTCCCCAGCGGCGCTATATCTGCCACTCAGATCGATCCTGACCGTGTACATAGCCACCTCCAGGAAACAGATCGCGCGGGTCGCAACGGGTTCGATTCCGACTTCATACTCTGTGAGCCTCTCTTCCACTTGCTCTCCAATCGAGCCTAACCCTCCAAATAGACTGCTTTTACATGGTCCACCACATTCACCTCAAAACGCAACCGCGAAGATGAGGAACTCTCCGAGTTGAGCGCAAACGTCTAGACCAAGAGGCTCGCGACATGCAGTCGAATTCACAACCAACCAAGTCGACTGTCGGCGCGTACAGCTTCTCGCGCATGTCGACGAGCTTTTCGATCCGGAAAAATGTCATAAGACGTGCGATTACTGTCAGAAGGACCAGGGCAAGGTTGTCACGACGGATTGCAGTGCCACCGCGTCCGCGATGGTGAGGTTCCTGCGTGAGGCGGAGGTCCAGAGGGGGTTGAGGAAGATCCCGCGTGGCGCGCATATTGCTGCCTTTAGGGGCAAAACGACAAAGGACGTCTTAGACAAGGGGTTGAACAACCTGAACGGGCCCGGCGCGGGGAAAGATGTGCACTTAGGATTCGCCGAACGCATTTCCGACAAACTCCAGAACCTCTACGCTATCGAGACCGTCGTCAAAGTGGCGATCTACTCCGCGAACTACATCCGGCTGGACGAGCGCGAGATGCACCAGCGGTGGCTGGATGGGGGGGAAACACTGGAGATGCGGACGCTCGTGTAGGTTAAGGGCACGCGGGCGGCGGGCGGGAGGACGAACAGTCGGAAGAAGGCGCCTGTGTTGACTTTGAGGGCGGAGTTGGCGAGCGATCCGATTGAGGATGAGGATGAGGCGCCGTCGAGGGCTCTATGGCAGGACGACGAGGCGGACGCGAGCTACTCATGCGCCTGAATCCGATACACCCGTTGCGGGCCCTTCTCAAGTTCTCACCCACGGCGAACGAAACCAGTCTCAAGACACGTGCCTAAACCGCGGCCGGAGCCGGGGCCTGAGGTGATCGACATCCCGTCGACACCTGGTGCGAGCGAGGACTGGCGCAACCTGTGCTATAAGAAGTTGCAGGACGTTAGGGAGCGGGTGTGTGTAAGTACGTCCCCTAAGCGTTCATAGGCGAAGCTGAGACCAATATTTTGTACCTATAGCTTACAGAGGATTTGGTGGTGCCCGACGACGTACTGAGGCCATGCATCTGGGCGCAGGCGATTACGCAGAGCCGGTGCACTAGACCGGAGTTGGTCTGTGGCCTCGACTCGACCGCTCTTACGAGCCAATCTGGAAGTTGTAGACTGCAAACTAGATCGTGTACGCGCAGCCTAAACTATATGAAATGCTACTGAATTACATTGAACCTACAACCTCAAAGGACATGCCATAACCGCTCGCAGTGCAGAACGTCGTCGTCCCGACGGAGACCAACGCCGGAGACTGTGGCCTAGACGCGCGAGACCGTCTCCACCAAGCGTGCATCCGCAGGTGTCCTAGTCTCGACACCAGCCGTCACCACTACTGCTCTCCGCAGTAGCAACCGAGGGGTGGGGGACGTCTGGGGTAGATCGTGTGGATCTTGGGCATGGCCAAATTGGACCGCTTTTGGGTGGCCGTCCCTATCATACTGATGGCGTGCACGTGAGTTACGCGTGAACGCGCAACTTCAAAAACCTCCCTCTGCTCTTCGAGGGGCAGCGTGGAGTTCTATACAAGGATAAATATGCGTCGCGGCGCGGCCCTTCGGGCCGCGACGCACACACTTTCCCGGAGCATGGACTCAAAGCGCCGCGTCCCATCGTGCTGTCGGAGAAGTCATGAAAGTACTACATCTTGAGCAAAGGCAGGCTGTGGTAAGGATATTCGGGGCGCGCCGGGCCGCTTCGCGATTGAGGATCCTGCGTACGTTTAGCTCACGGTGCTATGCGAGGATGAATATACGTCATGGCGGGGCGCGACGTGACATTGGCAAGGCCGCGAGGATTCGGGCTGGCTCTTACAATTGACTGCGCGAGACATGTCTTCGGTGCACCGGTACTAGCATGGTTCGCGCAGACAGATAGCGAAGAGTGTATGCCCGCGACTCTACACATGTACTGCTAGAGCCCAGACTGCACGGAGCGCGAGCGCATGTTCATCTTCGCCGACGCTTCGCGTCAGACTGCCGAGTCCGTTTCCGAGTGAACCCGTTGTAGCCCATTGGGTCTGAATGTATGTCTAGACTAGTACTTAAAGCACAACGCAACACGGCGCTTCGCTTCGGCGTCTTATTTGGGCAATATGCAGATTGACTAGGCAGATCAGCAGGGACCTCGACGTTCCTGGATGTACTTGAGCTTTGCGGTCATTCATGGCCCATCGGGGGATATCTATGCCAGCTATCTTCGGATGGAGACATTAGGGAGACTCGCGCCGATGCAAGGTCGAAGGGGGCGGAAGGTGTTGTCTGTTGACTCGTCCGGGATTCTGGTAGATCTGACCGCGCTGCAGACGTATAGACGCCCATGCGTCCAGCTTCGACTTCAAGATCATCTACTCGACCCTGAACCTTGCAGCTACAATCAAGGAACAACACCGAGAGCGTCAGCGCTTAGCTCAGAGCTCCAGCTGGGATCCTTTATGCCCAGCCGCGCAATGGGTGATTCGCACTTGTGGGTTCAGCCGATAACAAGACGCCGGTCATCCGAGCTCTCATCTCCAATAGGTGAGCTTCGTAGGTTACAGGCTTCCTGTGAGCGCGCGCGAGGCACGCGGTATGATCGACGCTGCTCGCTACCGTACCGCGTTAGCCGCTAGTGGCGACGGGAAAGACGTGCTGCATGTGGAAGGGGACGTGTACGAATACGTCTTGTGGGGATCTGTGCGCTCGATCTCGACGCACTCTTGATCAGTTGACGATGCGCCAATGCCCACTTGACGACCTGCCGTACTCGCGAGGACGGGGAGATACCGCCGATGCGAGCTGCGCGCTGCACTGCAGGGCGGCATCTGCAAACCAGGAATATCTCAACAAGCGTTAGTAACGCTCGGTCACGACGATAACGGTTCTAAGAGCTGTTATGTAAGCGTTTCGAACAGCCAGAAAGCGTCAAGAAAGCATGGCTCTCGCGTGTCCCGGTGATGGATGTTCGCGCGTCGTGGCTTGGTTCTGGCGCCTGTACCTTCACATCCAGAACATCATTTCGCGCAAAAATTGCACGGGACGAAAGGCATTTTTGAGAACTACCCGTATGGCGCCTGAAAACAGAAGGGAAGGACGAAATGACGATGGCGAAGATGTGTGCCGCGCGGGTTTCAACACGAGGCGAGAACTCTTGCGGTCGTTTGACACGCTTAACAGTTCTTAGACCCGTGATCGTCGTTACCGATACTAACGCTTGTTAAGAGATTCCTGGTTCGCAGGGCATGCCATGCCCAAACACGGCGTGTTCGATTATTCCGGGAGCCGGAGGATTCAGTCCGAGGGTGCATGTGTAAGATTCAACATGTTACAAGAACGTTGTATGTATCGAGTAAGAACGCGTCATCACAAGATCTAGGGGAAAAACGGGCGATCGGACATGCTATACCGGGTACGAAACGAGTTGGGTACGAATAGTACGGTTTCTTCCAAGAGACAAGATGAATGGATGAGACAAGACTGTGCGTGTCCATAACATGGTACAGAGCAATAGGT